ATAAAGATGCTGTTCCTGGCATCACAACTTTCTTTAGCTGTCGCTTTCATACCATGTCAATGAAATAAGCCCGTTTGTAAACTGATGTTGCAATTTTCGGTTTACAGTATTTTGCACCCCAAACCATGGTTTAAGGGGTGTAAATCAAAATTATTGAATCGCAATAAATATCATGTATTGTTTGATATATTTTTTTTTGTATTATGTATCGTAAATTGTATCGAATTGTAAGATACAGAAACATAATAAAAAATAAATATTAAAAAATTTATTTAATTATTTTCTTTATTATTACAGATTTTTCAAATTAATTTTTAAATTTAAATCACAAATCAAATCTTTATGTTTCTTATATTAAAAATTAAAAAATTTAATTTATTTTCATATCGTGAGATATATGATATGTTTCCTATTCTATAATATAGTATCATATTATCTTATACAAATCACTTTTCGATACATCCCACAATATGTATTGTATCGTATATCGTACGATATCAATAACTATGGTGTAAACTAAGATTTAACTTATATTTGTTTGAAAAAATTAATTTTGAGTTATTTATGACAAGGTTTTAACATCAAAATTTTGGTTTGAGAAAAAACTGATTTTTTTTTTTTTTTAATTCTGTTTTGTCAACTGAAAACCAAAACATGCACGTACTCTCGTTTGCCCACAGTTTAAGATATGAGATTACATCATATACAGCTAGGCGTGTTTGTTTTGTTGTAATTTATGACAAAATAGCCATGCTGGCCTCTCATCGTGGTTCCAGCATATCTTAATCTCATATTAGAGTAAATTAACAAGTTAAAAAAAAAATTCATTAGTTAATATAGTCACCTTTCTCTGTATATAAAGAGAAAAAATAACAAGCAGGAACCAAAAGTTGAAGTAATTAGGCTATGAAAAAAATATATGAAAAACGAAAGTGACAAATCTTGTTGGCACAAACTGCTGATATATGCAGAATTGTACAAAAAAACCATGATGAATAATACGGACTAATTAATATTGGGAAATATTATTCTCATTTTACATGAGGTAGTTATCTCATTTTCTCTCACATCGAAAATCGCACCCCTTCTTTTTTCTTTTTCTTTTTTACTTTTTAATGGTGGACCCCACTTAAACTCTCTCTATAGCATGAGATAATACTCTCATATAACATAAGATTAATATTCCCCATTAATATTGGTAGGATCATTTTCTTGGAAGATTGCTGAGTAAGAAGGGAGGAAGGACAGGATATGGATTACAGCCACTTTCGTGCATTAACCACAAACACAAAGAGAAAACACCCCAAAGATAAAAAGGCACTTTTGTGCTTTTTCTGTCTGATCCATAGACAGCTCTATGGCCATTTTGGTGTGAAATTTTCAACATGGCTGCATGATACCTGCGTCCCGTGAACGTTTTAGTGTACAGCTGCTGGAACTGGACCCATGCTGTCCTCTATAACAGTACAAAATGAGACCTCCACAGTAGCACCTACAGTCTGAGTGCAGCACAGGAGAAAAAAATTATAATAGTAAGAAATCAATTCAACTCATAAGTTTAAATTTGTAATCGAAATTATATTAATAATTTTATATTTTTCTACCGTACAGAGAGCATATTCTGCTTGAAAGGTGGATAATATATAGGTCTAGCTTACCTATGCTATCAAACTCATGACCACTTATTCATATCGACTTTAATATTAGATTAAATATTATTTTCGGTCCTCAGCAAATTTTACGATGCCCGCTTTAGTCCCTAGCAAATAAAAAGGCTATTCGTGATCCCTAAGAAATTCAAAGTAGACCCATTTTAATCCTTTTGAGGGACTAATATGGGTATTTTTATTTTTTTTTGATAACATTAAGGGGCGAAGCCCCAAACAAAAACAAACAAACAACCAGAAACAAAAAATAACTATCCAGGGTTTATATCCCTACAAGAGGATATTCCCTGAAGATCGTGATCAAATAACTGAGCAAGGTGAAACGGCATAACTCTATGACTCCAGAATCCAGTATCTTTGTGAAGAGCAGACTTGGCTAACCAATCAGCACAGGAATTAGCTTCTCTTGGAATATGAGAAAGCGTTACCTCCCAATCCTGACCGATGAGTGCTTGTATCTTAGCCACTATACGAGGCTGACAAGCTGCATTGCAATCAGCAAGCAAGGAGAATACTTCAGAAGCATCTCCTTCTAGTTCCACCTTCTTAAATCCCAGTTGCCAAACCAATTCCAGACCTTTTAGAGTTCCCCAAAGCTCCGCCATTAAAGGAGTGCAAGCACCAATATGATACTCAAAGCCTCCCAACCAAGAGCCATCATCAGATCTGATAATCCCACCACAAGCAGCCACCTCAGTATTCCTTTCAACTGCCCCATCAATATTAATCTTCACCCAATTTAGCCTTGGAGGTTTCCATAAACTCATACGAGTTGGATGAATGCTAGTAGTAGCCATAGTCTTCCTACCCATGCAGTTACGAACTTCCTCTATATACATAGCAATTATGTGCGTTCCATGGGTTGGATGCTTGAAGTTAGTATCATGGACACTTTTTTTCCTCCATCCCCAAATGAACCAACAAGAGATAAAAAAGACATCACGCCAATCATCTGAACTACTTTGATTCCAAGCTTTTGAGATATTATTTTCAACCCAATCTCTAAGATCCAAGCTGTAGAATAAGCTTTGCCGATTAGCTGAAACCATAGAATTCCAAACACTTCTAGCATGCTTACAATCTCTTAGAACATGGAGATTTGTTTCCAACTCACCAGGACACATTTTACAATGACTAGATTCCCCACTCCATCTAGATGTGCAGTCTTTAGTAAGAAGGCGGCCATGCATTATGATCCACATACAAGATTTAACACGTTGAGGCCCATGCCATTTCCATATGGTAGTCCAAGAATTTTTCAACGGCATGAGAGGGAAACCAAGCATGTTATAATACGCGGTTTTAACTAAAGAGCAGCCAACCTTTTGATTTCTCCAAATAATGCGGTCATTTCCATCCAATGCGCTAGGAATGAGAGCAGCTTGGATCCTTGCAACAGCTTGATCATTGAGATATTGACGAATATAGGGAAAGTTCCATTGACCAGTATTGCTGTTCACGAAGGCACTAACAGGGAGATTCAACTCCAAACCAGTTGGAGTACGAGTAGCCAGAGAGGCAAGACACTCAGTTAAACCCAACCAATTGTCTGTCCAAAATAATGCATCATTACCGTCTCCAATCTCCCATTGCATTGCTTGAAGAAAAGATGGCCAAACACTACACAGATTTTTCCAGAAGTATGAGTCATATGCTTTATGATTTACTTCCCTCCGAAGATCCAAACCTCTCTTATATTTACTTGTTACAACTCGAACCCACAACGAATCGGGGAAGTAAGTATCGTCCATGCAAGCTTGTGAAAGAAAGCCATATTTTGGACACGAAGGTTAATCACCCCTAAGCCACCCATGCTCTTAGGCTTGCAAATATTATCCTATGCAACCAGATGAGATCTCCTTTGACCATTTTTATCACCCCAAATAAAGGCACGCTGCAACTTCTCTATTTCATCACAAATGGCTACAGGAAGCAGACTGTGTTGCATTTGAAATATAGGAGTTGCTGAAATAACGGAGTTGGAAAGTGTAATTCGACCGGCAAAAGATAAGACCTGGTTACTCCAACCAGATAACTTGTGCCTAATTCTTGCAACAACATCAGCATAATGGTCTTTGGTTACTCGACCATGTTTCATCATGGACCCAAGATATCTCCCTATATTGTGAGTTTGCTTGAAGCCACACACATTTGTGATATCATCTGCAATGTGAGCATCTGTATTTTTCGAGAAAAAAATACTAGATTTCAGAATACTAACCTTTAGGCCAGACATTGAACTAAAAGTCTCCAAGCAATCCACTATAACTTTGATTTGATCTAGAGAAGTAATTTTAATATGGGTATTTTTTAAATTTGTGAGGGACCACGATTTCAACTAAATCGGTCCATTTTGAATTTCTTAGGGACCACGAATAGTCTTTTCATTTGCTAGGGACTAGAGCAGACATCGTAAAATTTGCTAAGGACCAAAAAGAATATTTACTTGTAATATTATGTAAAAAAATCAATTCAATCCAAAAAATTAGGTTAGATTATTCATTTTATATTTTTCTAACAATTATATACAAACCTAACATAAATTGAGTTTTCACTATTGATTTAAACTCAAAAGCCTATACCTCTAGTCAATTTAGTGTTCAATCTCAATGGTTACTATGCTGCATAAGCACAAATAAAGGTTTTAGAGCAATTTTTTTGGGGGCACAATTTAGAACTAGTTGATATTCTAATTTAGATATTCTCAGTTCAATTTAGTGGTCATGTCAATTCCAGGACATTCTTCTATTCTTTATTTAAATTCGCCATAGTTATAATTAATGCCCCGAGATTTTAGTAATGGAAAGCATGCATGTGAAAAGGAATAAGAAGAGTGAGTGAAATTTACAGGATGCAATAACTTTCTCGGTTTAGGGAAAGTCGGCGTGAGTCATGACTTTAATTGTATTTCGTAGATTTGTTGTTTTTTTAAATACAACATTTCTTGAAGCTTAAGCATTAAACAAAGGGAATAAAACATCTCCTGTTAGTACAAAATTACTGATATCCTATAATAGGGACAAGATTGTGAGGTCCACTGTCTTTAAACAAAAAAATAAAATAAAATATCTCAGTTTTCGAACTCTTAACTGCAATCAATTCTCTCCTCCTGCAATAGAAAAAGTGATTTGCCCTTAAACAAATTTGCAAACTTATATAAATTACCTAAATAGTTCTAAGACTTATGACAATTTGTTCCACCATTATGCTCGGAAAGCAACAGCTAGCAAGAGCAACAAGTACATAACCTACCATTCACAGCCCTCAATTAGTATATAAAGGGTAGCAATGACAGTCTCTTCATTCTCATAGCTCTACCATAATAACATTGAATTTCCATTACTACTGTTGTCTTTTATTTATTATACATATATAGTGTTGCATAAATGGCTTCAAGCTCAGCTTGGACAACAAAGCAGAACAAAAAATTTGAGAATGCTTTGGCCATCTACGACAAGGACACCCCAGATCGGTGGCAGAACCTGGCCAGGGCGGTCGGAGAGAAGACGGTGGAGGAAGTGAAAAGGCATTATGAGATGCTCGTGGAAGATTTGAAGCAGATTGAGGAAGGTCATGTTCCCTTGCCCAATTACAGAAATGTTCCAACAATAGGAGGTAGCATCAAAGGTTACAGTTACATGGATGAAGAAAAAAGGTTACTACTTAATTCAATCCCTATTACCATTAACAACCTCGCTTTATAATTTAGACTCTTTCTGGTTATGTTCGGTTGCTCTGTTTAATTTACTCATACAGTCGCACGATACAACATGACCATTTTAACCTCATTTGATCGGTGTAATTGCTCTGTTTAATTAATGCGGCTTGAGTTTGATTAATTGTGTTTATTCATTGTAATGCAGGATGAAGTTTCTGAGCCTCAAGTGAAGTAGGGCAGCATCGGAGCCAGGGTGGGAACAAAAAGAGACATGTTAGTATAGTACCAATCATGTTAATTAAGTGAAGACCAAAATGCATGCACCAAACGCGTGGTCCTATAATAACAAAAATCAAATGTTTTTTGGTTCACTTTTTGTTTGTTTGTTTGTTTCTATCTATGTTAAGTATCAGTGTCGTGTAATCCTTATAAATGTAGAAATCAAATTATCTCAAGGACAAGTCAACCTTTTGATGGTAAAGCATGGCCATTAAGGATCAGTTTCTGTCATGTTCTTTTTTAATTTCTCTTTTGGATGGATATAAATGGTAGAGACTAAAGTTTCAATATCAGAAGAGATCATAGAGCACCTAACTAAGAGACCAAACTAAAAAACGGAGTGAGAGAGAGAGAGAGAGATAGAGTAACAGAAAAAAGATTAATTAAACAAAGTGGTTCATGTAAAATGGCAGTACATGTGTCTAACTCAGTCCACCGACCATAACTTGGATTCATCATTACTGTCCGGAAGGTTTGGAACCGTGAAACATCAGAACCTATGAAAAGGTTGACGAAATCAAAATACGCAACTTTTAGAATGCCAATGGGGGATGCAAGAAGAGTGCCCAATACATTATTAACAAATTTAATGCGATTTAGATTTTACTACAAATTATGAATATTAACGGATGAGAAAATTGATAAAATAGTTTTTAATCAATTCTTTGCAATGTGTCTATTCGCTTTAATAATAATAATAATAATAATAATAATAATTTATCCTATTCCTATGTAAGGTTAAATTTTGATCAATGATTATTAATTACATACTTTACATTTTCAAGCGAATTTTATAACTTTCAGGATATTGAGCTAACTCATATGTGAAGTCAGTGTTTTAAAACTCTGATCGATCCGAATTTTGGTAACCCGGTGCCCTTACCAATTTGAGCTGACCATTGGTCGGAATTGCATTAGGCCCAATCAAAACTAGGTAAATCGGCCCAGAATCGGGTTGGACCGGTGTCAAACTGATACTAGGATATTAGTCAACCCGATTTTGGCTTATTTGCGCAAAATATTTCACGCTTGCCAGCACTGCGGATCAAACCCAAGGTAGGAGGCTAAACACAAACAAGAGTTACCACCAGACCAATCCTACATATTGGTCATATTACTCTTAATTATATATATATACATAGTATTATATAAATTCAATTTAACCGGTTGAATCAGTGACTCACTAGTTGAACTAGTGACTCATTGACCCAGTACTCCGATCGGATCAATGATTGGTCAGTGTTTTAAAACATTGTGTGAAGTTCTCGTACTCATTCTAAATTTACAAACTTCTCGTACTAAAATAGGTGTATATCAATTAAACGCACTTGGTGGCTCACATTTCTCACTATAAAAGAATTATTACTTTTTTTTTAACATATCACTACAATAGAATTAGAATTTTGATTTAATCATTTTTTATTTAGCAGCGGATTAAACTATCGCTAAAAGAATTCAGTAGAGGTTTTCAAATCACTTTACAAATGTTGCCGCTATATCATCTCCAAGTGTTTGGACCTTTTGGGCGAGCTCTTAATGTACTATCAAGTATCACGGTCAAGGTTGGCTGGGTTGAGGCGTGTTCTTCCTTAATATTTGGTGGCTGAGCATGCAATGCATTTATTGATGCATGACTCAATGTCTGAATAACCATCCTGATAAATGTCACCCATCTCATTATTGAAGAAGATTCTAGAAGGAGGTGAAGAGACTCATCTCATCTATATAAAGAAATGGAAACTCTTTGTAAAAGGTTAGACTCGTAAGTTATACACTTGAGATTAGCTTGTGCGAGTATTCCGCTCGAGAGAAGTTTGAGTGAGTGACCTTTTAGAGAGAAATCTTATATACCACCATTGTAGGTGAAGTTTGATAGTGCACATCAAGTGTTACTAGGGAGCTTGAACTATTGTAATTCCATTATTTATATAATGAAAGATTATTTAGACTAGGTTTGGATTTTACTGCTTTGCATTAGGGAAGTTTTCCATGTTAGAAAGTGTTGTGTATCTTTCTTTTTTTGTCTCCATCTATGTTTTATGCATTTTTGTGCTTCTGGGCACAAGGCCAACCTATTGACTAATAGGCCAACCTCCAAGCGTCAAGCTATAGTGATTGACTTGACAACCTGTGTTTTTTGCTTCCATGTTGATTGAGGGATGCTGTCCCAACATTGGTATCAGAGCCAGGTTCGAAGGGTTATGAAGAGATGAGATGGAGACTGACAACATTTCTCACGACGAAGACATGTTTAAACTAATAGCTGACAGTTTCACATATTGGAGATCTATTATGGAAAATCACCTATTTTATAAAGATCTTCATGAGCCCATCTTAAGCACTAAAAGGCCAAAGGGTAAAAATAAAAAGGAATGAAAGTTCTTGAACAAAAAGATGATAGTCATGATCAGAAAATATATTAACAAGAGCTTGTTTGAGCATATGCCTTAGTTTACCAATGCTCATGAGTTGTAGATGAAGTTGGAGTCCATGATCCAGAAAAAGACTTCCAGAAATAAAGCACACCTTGCATGTCGATTTGTGAAGCTTGTATACAAGAACGACATGAGTATGATTGAGCACCTCAGCACATGCAAAAGTGTTGTAAATCAGGTGACCAAGGCGGAAATGAAAGTAGATGACGAGCCCCAAGCTAGCTTCATTCCAAATAAGCACATACAAGATAACGTAATAATAGTGCAAAAACTTATCCACTTAATGCATAAGATGAAAGGCAAAAAATATTTTATGGCCATTAAGCTGACCTGGAAAAGGCCTATTAAATTGAAACTTCCTCAAATAGACTATGATGGAGAATGAGGATGTAGTTACTTTCTGGTCATATTGAACTTATTATGGCTAGTGTCACAACTTTAACCTTATATATTCTATGGAATGAGGACAAAACAGAGGAATTTAGTCCATCTAGAGGTTTTTGCCAAGAGGATCCCCTATTTTCTTACCTTTTTGTCATAAGCATTGAGAAATTGTCCCATATATTTACTAGAGTAGTAAATGGAGCCCGACCTAAATGGTTTAGAATGGTCACCAAGTTGTCTGATCTTAACTTTACTAATTACCTTGTCCTCTTTGTTGAGCTAAGCAAGACCTATATAACCTAGTCCTATGCTTAAATTGTGTAGAAAGTTAGGGAAAAGTTAAACTCATTGAATAGTCAGGACTTCTCACGAGCTGTTCGAATCATTTTAGTATAATTTATCTTAGCTACGATTCCTTATTATATACAGCATGGAAAACATTCAATTACAATATACAAAGACATTGAGAGAATCCAACGAGCATTCATTTGGGGAGATACAACTCACAAACACGTGTGCCATCTCATCAACTGGGAGACGATTACATCTAAATCTATGGGAGGTCTTGTCTCAAAAAATTAATTGCTATGAATGATGCTTTTTTGGCCAAAATATTCTGAAAATTCCTTAACCATTCTCAAGCATTCTTGGTTAAAATTCTTAAAACTAAGTATGGAGGTCGTAGATAGAGTTCCATTTTTTTGTTGATAAAATTGGTGACTCTAGGCTAAGGAATCAACTTTAAAGAATATGGAAAAACCTTAAAGACTATCTAGGCTGGGAAGTTGGGAATGTTTTCAAGATTAACTTTTGGAGAGACAAATGGATACCCCATCAAACTCTCCTCAATGTTGCTAGTAATGCGGTCCCTCAACACTTAATTGATAAGAAGCTGCATGAACATGTCACTAAAGAGGGTTCTTGGGATTTATTGGCTTGCTCCCGATGGTTACCATAAAACATCATTCAGATTATTTGTAGTTCCCTGCCTTTCGACCCCCTGGATGGTCCTGACCAGCGTAGATGGATTTTGCCCTCAAAGCCTTTCTAGTCTGAAGCACAGATAGATAGGGAGATGAATGAGTAATAAAAGATAAGACAAGTTTCTTGCCACAACAGTCTATCATGACATAGTTCTTTGACAACTAGTCCATACCCAGAATAATTTCCAAGCTACTCATGGGCATACATACGAGATCCATAACATAATCTCGACCCTCGTATTTAAATGCAACATCTTTGCATATTTTAGAAGTAGAGCATTTCTCTCTGGTGACGATGGCCACCTTAATTGGAGGAGCAAACTTATACATGTGTAAGTTCAATCCAAATGCAATTTAACCAGAAATAAAGGAGTAACTAGCTCCTGAGTCAAACAAAACATTTAAATCATAATCATCGATATAAATCGTAACTTGCACCAAGTTAGGCATTTTATCCGCTTGCTGCTGATTCATAGCATATACTCGACTAGCGGTCTGAGATTCAACCATGGGTGGAGTAGTAGTATCTTGGCATATTTATAACAAATAACCTGACCCAAAGTACAAGGTCCTTTATGTTCCCTTCCGCAACCAGCATATTTTGGAATAACAGCTGGCCTGACTTAAGAGCTTCCCTGAGTACCCGTCTTCTTCAATTGATTAGAGGAATAACACCTATGGGATCTGGCTATCCCTCTGTTGCCCCGCGGTTACCTTAGGGTCTTAACATAGCAGCCAAAACAGGGTCTGACTGAGCATTGACATTATTTGCCTCAGGGTTGTTCTGGATCTCACCATGACACTGCACACGTTACACAAAGAAATGAGTTGATTAGCCCACACTCAGTGATCACACATGTAATAATCATCATAAAAACCTAAAACAACTATGATGCAATTCATACAACATAACTCATAATTAAGTTCCCTAAGAAACTGCTTTGATACCATAAAATGCAATAGCCCATTGTACACCGGTATATTATCATTATGTATGATATTAATCGCAGTTACAATAACAACATTTGAATTAAAATATGGCTAACCTTTTCATTTTTCTCTTTAAAACATAAATGTTTACTACATAAAACTTTTTCCATTATAAATCATTTTCGTATTTTCACAATTCAAAACTGTAATTGTAACTCAACTACAATGCAGAATAATTAAATCTAGCTTAATTATATTATACAGCCTTGGAGTCCCCATAAACAACATGGACTCTCCCTCGATGAATGCTGATAGTTAATTACAAGA